ACCCGAGCCCATGGTGTCCCCGCGCTATCGGCAGGATGCAGCTGCTTCGCCCATCCTGGATGTCCTGCGCTGGTCGGGGTGTTGCAGCTGGCGCTTCCCCTGTGACACAGCGTGGCATTAATGCTAAAAATGCACAGTGGGTTCGGCTGGATATCAACGTGTGTCTTGGGGCCCTGCAAAGCGCACAGCCCCCAAGGTCCAGGGGGGCCATCCCCGCCAGGGACCACCCCTGCCCTGGACCATCCCTGCTGGAGCCCTTTGCTGCAGGAGGGGAACCAGCCCCTCTCGCCTGTCCCGCTCCCTAGGGCGGCGCTTCCTGCCCAGGATGTGCCCGGGGCTGCCGCACGGGGCGGTGGTGCCGGCGGGCGTGAGCTGCGGGCACCAGCTCCAGTCATGAGCTCCAGGCACCAGCTCCAGGTGTACTCTGGGCATGAGCTCCAGGCAGGAGTTCCGGGTGCCGCTCCGGATGCATTCTGGGCACGAGCTCCAGGCATGAGCTCTGGGCACGCTCTGGGTGCACTCTGGGCACTATCTCCAGGCACCAGCTCCAGGCAGGAGCTCCAGGCGCTTGCAGCGGCGGGGGAGAGGCACCCTCTGGAAGCAGGACCGCGGGTCTAACCGCAGCGATTCCCCGGGCTCGCGGGGAGCCTCGCTGCAGAGCGAGGCTGCGCCGGTGCCGGAGGCCGGTCCCGCTCCGCTCCGCGCGCTGCGTTCCCCGGCGGCGCCGCCTGCACGGCCGTTCTGCGGGTTTTCTGGGCAGGTAACAGGGCTTTTCGGCAAGAAAATGTTTCTCCTTTGCTGGCCCCTGCCCTCACCCGGGCGCAGAGGGCAGCTGCTCTTAGCGCTGCCGCGCACGGGACTCGCACAGGAACCCAGGGAGCCGCAGGCAGGCGGAAACCTCCACCCGCAGCAGGCAGATTCAGCTGGAATTACCCATCCTTGGCTCATCTGTGAGAACAAGTCTGGTAGACAGCTTTTTTTTTTCCCTGAAATAAATGATGTCCCTTCAGTTATGCATATATGTGAATAAAACAAAAAATGCATGCAAAAGAAAGTGGTGGAGCTTCCTAAACCTGGCGTAGAGAGGTGTAATTAAGAAGGAGAACTTTTTATTAGGGCAATTTCACTTTATTTTTTCCATACAGCAAGGTCAACTATAGCGGTAATAATAAAATAAGCATAAAAACAAATTGCAGCCCAGGACAGAGTACATAATTTGGAGCAACTACAAGCAAAAAGTCTGTGATTACATAATAGTAAAACCAAGCACATCTGTCCTTTCAGCAGATGAAAGTTGCAGGGTTGCAAGTAAGTGCAACTTTAATAATTATTCAGTGTGAATACTGGAGATACCAGATAAAATAATGGCCAAATCTCTTTATCCTTCCAGCTTTGGCATACATAAGGACAAGGTTTCTTGAATGTTTTTAATTAAAACAGTAAAACTCCAGAGGGTTTTTCTTTTCACCTGCTAAAAGAACAGGACCACTACAGCAATAAAAAATAATCACATAACAACTACAGCTACGGTGTGCTGTTTGGTTTGCCTGTTCATGATTTGACTCTTTTGTGAAAGTCAGTATTTGTTTTGAAGGATTTTTTTTTTTTTGTGAACAATAAACCACTGAAATTGTCAGAAACTGTTTTGAATAGTATATATCTTTAATATAGTTTTTTGATACTTTAAACATGCAGTAGTTTTTGAATAATGTACGGAATATTTGATCCATGATTTCACCTTGATGGTTTGAAGTACCTGTTTTTTTTTTCTTTTTCTTTTTTTTTCCTTTTTTTTTTAAATTAATGATTTTCAGGCAGATTTGAACCAGTGGAGCTTTTGTCAGTCATGAGATCTTGGAAGGATGGCATATCTTTCCAGCTGAAAAAATCCTGGCAAACTACAAGCTGTCCACATAAAGCAAAGCAACTTTTTTGAAGGGGTATGGAGTGCTAACTCTGTGCCACTTTTGCAAGCAATTTTGTTCAGCCTGTCATTTTATTAGCCTTAACAAAACTCCTTGTAATTATAGACATTTTTATTCAAAATAAGATCTTACTATTATACAGGTTTCTCTCTTTTTTGACTATATACAGAAGTGCAAAAAGTCAACCTTCTCTCTATACGTTCCCACATGCTAAACTGCAGCATAATCAACCCTCAAGAGTTTGCACACACACACTATAATTCTTGTTACGTAAACTTTGAGTATTTGGATTATCAACAAAAAGTCCCTTGATCTATTGATTATGCAGCTTATTTATAACAAGGCCTGATATTCAGGGATTTCAAAAAATATTTAAACAATATTTTAACATTTGAAATGGATACAGTAGAAAATAAATTTTATTCTAATATCTAGGAACTAGATTTTCTCATAATAACTAATTACAAACAAAATAAATCATCAAAATATTACTCAATTGTCTGCCAGGATTGTTGCGATAGCAACAACTTAACTCCTTACTTAGCAATGATTATATAATTATAAGATATCCATATAAAAGATCTTTGTTCTTTTAATGAAAACTAGACAAGAACTAACAATGACTGACATTCTTACATTGTAATATTAAATCAGTAAAATATAAATCATTTAGTTAACAATAATACGAATACTCATATGACACTACATGTAAATTCAAAACTGAGTATGTTATGAAGAAAACTACCTTTTTTTTGTATTTTGAAAAAGTCATCAGTAAACTCTATTAAAACAAAATTCTATAAACTGAAATGGTATTCAACTGGTAATAGAAAATTAAAACAATCTAATAAATGTAAGAAATAAAAACTACATTTTTAACAAGAAAAAATAAGTAATATTCTATAATGTTAAGTAACTACAATAACATGTGAAGTCACCTATACTTTCTTAACACGATTGAAATTACATTGGTAAGGGTTTTAACCCGTAATGTAATAATCTAAGGCTTTAATAGATGTACAGTACAATCAGTAAAATCAACACATCATTCTTATACTATAAAGCATCTCTCTCAAGCATAAAAACTTGCAGTAAACTTGGAAGTATGGAGAGTTCTACAACCGAACCCGCGCTTCTTCCACCCCCACTCCACCAGTGACCTGGCCCCACGTCAGCACTTTGCTGAACAGAGCAAAAAATATCCTTTACTAGCTGCAACATCCAAACCACAAAAAGGAATTCCTTTGGATGAATCCGTTCTTAAAACTTGAATGCACATCTATTTTTTTTTGTTTGTTTTTATTTTGTAAAGGCTTTCTAAGGCTATAAGCAGTTAATCTGAACAAAAAAAATCACATATAAAACTCACCCAAGTATTTAACCCACCCACTTTCTATGCTAATTAACATCTCCATTTTTTCATATTTTGGTTTGTCATGCATCTGATGTCAGTGCTTCTTTTGTCTTTGTTTAGAGTCACCATTTAAAGCGTGACTTTGATGAAGTAAAAGTGAAACCCATCTCTGCAAAGCATTTATAGTCCTTTTGACTTTCGACAGAGGCTATAAATAGAAGCAAAATAAGTTCCTCAGACATTTGTTACTGTGTCTCAGAAATGGCTTCTTCCTTTCGTATATCATGTTATACAGTAAAATATGCATAAATATTACACTACAATGCCTTAAAATAGTTTATATATATGTCCAGTATGTGTTAATTTGTACGGATAGAGTATCTTTCTTGTGCTGCCTACTGTTACTGTAAGGAATAATTGGCCATTTCTGAGACAGCTTTGGTTTTGAAACAGAATGGTGCCCTTTGACTGATTAGTAAAGTAAGTGAAAATGTGGCTCTGAAAATAACACTGCAGAAATAATACTCTAATCTGATGTACAGTCTATGGCACTTCATGAGAATCCTTAACAACATGGTACTTAAAGCCATTGATGTGCTTTAAAATATACACAGTTGTGGTTTTGCTTGGCACATTCATCTCTGTCAGATACCTCTCTTACCATTTCTTACAATCTATTACATTAAAAATATTACTCTTAAACAAAAATTACTGTGCATGCACGCTCTCATCTATAATGGCAATTTTAAATACAAGGTGCACCTTTGTTATTTGTAAACCTTGAAAGAAATAAACTTACTTTAAAAAATTATATCTTGGTCTACAGACGTACCAATACATAATAGATTTATGGTTACATCATAGTCTGTCTTTTCAAGGTGACATACATGATTATGTAGGAAATAGACTACATATGCATATTCAAGTACATATGCATACTTTCTGTGCTAGAAAAGATAGACAATGTTGTAGTTTTTAGACAATAAGATCACCTCAGCACAAATATCAATTAAATGTACAAAGTATATAGGCAACAGTGTGCAGTGATTCCGAGTTCTTGTCTCATCTTGTTAACATGCAATGTGTGGATGTCTCACTGCTGAGGGAGCTTCCGAGTGTTGCTTGACGGTATATACATTATGGCTAATGAGCTTCTCCTTTCCTCAACCTGAACACACTGTCCTTTTCTCTTTAGTTATGATCTAGAAAGGGAAAAAGAGAAACCATTTTCAGCATTTTATTTGAAGATTTCATTTAGCACCACATAGGCCCAAACTTTGCAGTTGCAACACAAGGGAAATCTGTCACAATATCGGGCAATTTTGCAACCAAAACCTGCACAGTTTCCCTGCAAATAATGCCCTCACAGCAAAGGTTCACTTTACACAGACAAATTACGCAGTGATAAAAGCACAAAACGAAATGTCCTCCCAGTATTCCTGAACTGACCGTCATGGTGTCACAGTTTGGGGGAGCAGTTCCCCCAGCTCCAAAGCACACACCCCGGGAGGCAGAGATTCCCACACAAATTGCTGGGAAAGCCGTGGGCTTCTCTCTTGTCCCCGGCCCTGCTGCCACTGGCCATGCAAAACCTGGGGACCCAACCAGTATCTGAGAGGCATTAACATCTGCAGGGATATGTGGGTCCTCCAGCCCCAAGACACCTTCTTGCTATGCAGTGACCTACTCAGTACAGCGATTTCTCTGGTCCCCCCTGCCTGTCGGACAGGAGGGCCCCTCGAGGGGATCCCTGCTCCACCTCGGCAGGTGTCCGGAGCAGGGACACCGGCTGCTTCCCGGGAGGAAGCGCTCCCGGATGTCCACGCTCGCTCAAAGGCATAACTGGTAGTCTAAACCTACTAGGAAAAACCAGTTAAGCCTTATCTTAAATAATAACTGCAATCTGGCCAAACCATCCCATAATACCACGGCAGAAATGGAGTACAGGAGACAGAACATTAACACAAATCACAAGCTACCCTATGGGAGGTGATGCTGCAGCTGATGGCCTTGATTACAAGATGCAATTTAGCGACAGATGGGAAACTCATAGAAAGATAGAGGAGAAAAAAATCTTTCAAGCTTAAGCACACAAACCCAGATTTGAAGTGGGAAGAACGCCAGCAATACGAAAAGGTGACGGGGCCACCCGAAACCCCAGTTCATGGCAAGGGAAGGCAAGTGCACAGCGGGGCTGTGCTCCGCGTGCCTCTGCCAGGTAGCCAAGGCCACAGAAATGCTGCGTGTGCCACAGTGTGACAGCCTGTGCTCAAGAGCAGTCAGGCTGAGATGACTAAGCCCATAATTTCACAGATGCTGGCTTTTTGGAGATATAAAATTAGTTCTTTCTGAAGAGGGCTTAATGTAACCATCTACCTCCTAGCCCTGGCCTTGGCTCATGTCAGTGGCTGCCGCTCCATCCTCTACGTGAAATGCTAATTTTAGAGCCTCTGATTTCACTATTCAGAAGTGCAGTTACACAAATAATGTGTTCCTTCTATATGTACAAAGTACTGCCCACATCTGGTCTAACACAGCAGCTAATGGGGTCACTGCTAATTATGGGACCTCCATTCAGTGAGGATTTAAGCAAAAATCCCAATTAACGTGAAGCCTAACAGCTCTGCATCACAGACTGCTAGAGCCTGGCCAGAACCTCACAACACGGTCACTCTGCAAAAAAACCAAAAAAGAGAAAAATCGGACAGCACTTCTTAGAGTGAAGCTTCCGTCCATACATTTCTGTGGCTGGCTAATGTCATGAATATGCATGTCAATGGGATTTCAGTCGCTCCCCCATATTTTACAAGTTTTTTAAAAAAGAAAATAAAAACACTGTGTCTCTGAAAAAGACAAATTATGCACATATACAGAGCATGACAACTGCAAGCAACAACACATTGGAAACTTACTGTTTGATGACAAAATGTCTACATCTGTGTAACATACTTGTGGCTAGTCAGATGTTCGGCAGATATTATGGGTATCTACAGGTAAAAAATTTAAACAATGAATAACGTGCAATGAGCCAACCCAGAGACAGAGCATTTTGCTATAGAACACAACAGTTCAGAAAAGTGAGGATCAGCTGTGAGTTGGTGGATTTTATATTGTAACTACAAGTTAAAGTCAACTTAAGTGCTACAGTAGCAACTTAAAACTGGAAAACATTGTGTTAAGTACTATTTGACAAATATAAATAAGTATTATTGTTTGTTTAGAACATAAGAGAAGTTAAAATCTACAAAAGTTCATGCAGTGCAGTAATTGAACACAGCCCTTTTTGTTGGCCTACACAAAGTTCCGTGATATCGGTGAGTCATTGAAAATGGTAAATTCTATAATGACATTGTTTCAGCCTGATTTTGAGAAGCGCTCCCTGCTTTCATTGCCTCGGGTTCTGAACGCCACACCTCGATGCCTGGAGCTTGGTCTTCACGACAGGTGAAAACCCGGCGGTTGGGAAGAGCCGTGCGCTCCTTCCGCAGCGCCAGGGCATCGCGGTGGAGCAGCTGAAAAGCTAAGACTCCCCAAATCAGCGAAACAATTCTCAAAATGTTAGTTCGTGCAAACAGAACTCACTGCACGGCTCTCCTGAAATGTCCCATCAACAATAAAACATTGAAGTCACAGTATATTACAAGCATTACATACAACTGAGTGTATATTCTACATCTCCCTTTTGGATCCCGTCTGGCAACACTCTCATGTGGTACCCAGACTAAAATCAACGGGCCTGAATCTAAACGGACCTTGCAGACCAGGCCCTTGACACGGGAAAACAGCAGTGCATACAAGTATCAGAAGAACTGCAATAACCTTGCGTTACAAACAGGACCAGGGAGCCCAGCTGAGCAAGCAAATAGACGAGTACAGGAAAACATGCTTGGGCATATGACACAAAATTGATTTGTATGATTACAAACAGCTGTCAAACTTGAGAAGATTCTTTTTTTCCTAATGGATATTGAGGCTGATCTGTTAATCAAGCCATATGAGAAAGGGACGGCGGAGGAATATTTGTATTTAAATAGCTTACAGGTCTCGTTTTTTTCCACCCCTTGTGCCCTCTCCTCCCCTAGCAACTTCACACAATTCTACAACATTGCCAACTTTACAGAAAGGTGCTTCAAGCATAATGAAGCTTCTCATACCATTTTTTCCTACTGCTGCAGGAGAGGCTGCTGCACCCAACTGTGGAGAAGCATCAGGGACAGGGCTGTCGAAACATACCAAGGACCTTCAACGCCAGTCCATGAAGATGAAGGGCCAGATCCTAAGACTTTCGGCATGCATGCACATTGCACTGTGTGGCATTAAATAACTTCAGCATTGCTCACATAGTATATACATATATTGGTTATATATGTATATATTGAGGTTTGGCTGCAGTCCTTTACTAAGTGTGTTATGAAGTTCCAGGGAGGATACGCATGAAATGGTCAGATTCTACAACAGAAAGTTTCCTTCTAATCTACTTGGGAAAGTGCATGGTAATTTAGACAGAGGAGATTGTTAAAAATGAAGATTCTTTTTCTGTGGTTTGGCTCGTTCCTGCCTCTGGACTTAGGGAGGACATAAAGACAAACACTTTAATGAACTGTGCTGTGCAATAAAGTACAATATCATGGTACTTTGGCATACAAGCGGTTGGTTGCTGTGTTACTCAGAAGGAATCACTCCTATCAACTAGTTTTCCAAGATACGAAGCAAGTCTTAGGCTGGTTTAAACATGAGAGACTCTTACCCAGTAGAACATTTCTCAGGAGCACAAAGTGCCGCTTCCCAAGCGGACGGGGAGCTCTGCCCGAGAGCCCTCCAGGGGCTCCTTCCCGGCCAGCAGCGCCGCTTCCCGGGACAATCCAGCCCTGGCTGCAGCGGCAAACCTCGTGGTGCCATTAGAGCTGCAGCCCTGCAGCCCTCCGCTGCAGCGGCGCGGGGCACGGGCCAGCTTGCCTTAAACGCTGACATTTAGCCCCAGAACATGATGGGTTGATGACATAAGGCAATTCTGACCTTCTAGTAAACCTTACAAAAATAATTGGTTTCATAAGAGAAGCCAGAAGGCCTTGTGAAAGTTTTTACTGTTACATTTTTCTGCTAGATGTACTACAGAAATCGGCATTTTTGAGAATCTAGTTAAATAAAAATAGGCGAATTCTATGTTCAGGTGAAGCTTCAGTTGGTATGTGTGGAAACTGCACCTAGTCTGTCCCTTAATGCTTATCTTTAGAATACAGTTTGTGGCTTTTCTGGGAGGATTTTCACTTATTTAGTAAAGCATTACTTTTTTTTTTTTTTTCCCTTAGATATATCCAAACATGGCAAGAATTAGGATAGCTATTTAGAAATAAAACAAGATTTTAATGCACATTTATTAACTGAAATTTGCGTATTGGAAAAAAGCAATCAGCCCTTCCCTGAAGAATCACAAGTTGAAACAACGGCTTAATATGTGTTTCTGTGTGGCCCACGCTCAAATGTTTTTGTTTTGCCTTTGAGAGAGCTGGAGAGAGTCAGAACATGCTCAGACTGTTAAAATTCTGATCCTGTAATCCTGCTCCACAAATTTTTTACTGGTTTTGATTGGTGTTCTGCATTAAGGGGAACTGTGGGCTTCATGTAAATAGAAATGACTAATGGGTTCCGTGTATTATCCCTTTCTCTTTACATCTGTGAGAGCAGAAATACGCAGCGCGGCCCATAAATGTTAAGACTGAGTCAGAAACTCTATTTTCCATTATTTTTAGCATCAGAAATGGAACTGCAGCACCTTTTGTGCATGGATAAAGGCTTATTAAGCTACGCTGCAGATCTGAGAGAGAATGTGTAGGCCAACAAGAGGTAAAATCAAAACCCCCATGCTCATTAAAAGCACCGATTTCAAGTTGTCTGTAAGGAACAAAGCTGTAAATTAGCAAACCTGGTTGGCTGTGGCTGTTGCAGCGAAGGGAACACTTGTGGCAGATGTTGTTGCTGCAGACACAGTGGCTGGCGTAGCACCGTGCACCATGGGAACTTTCGGAAGGAAAATCATATAAGCAAACATACAGAAGAGTGTAGCAGTATGGGGACCAGAGCGACGGGTGGCAGCATCATTGAGCATGGTATTTACCACAGCGGAAAGCCCGACACACCAATGCCAGCGCGTGACATGCAACCACAGTGCAAAGCGGGACAACATTCCAGGGAGAAAGAGGAAAGGAAAATGAAAGAGAAAAAAAGGGGAAAATGCTTGTTACCATCAAATCAAGAAACTGACACAAACAAGCTTAATCATTTCAATACAAAAATAGATTTTTTAAATGCCCTTATAATTACATTTTTTCTATAAAAAAATTCAACCCAAATATTTACTGCACACAAAAATTAATCTTGTTGAAGGACAGTATATTTCTATGTTGCTATAGTAAGATACAGTCTCTTATTTAACACAAGATAGTCTAAACACTGGAACTCATAGTCCAATCAAAATCCACCAAGGAGCAATGTGCAATTCAAAGAACTACTACACAAAATTAACGACATCTACGTATCCATGTCAATTAAATAAAACAATTGCATTTAATTGACAGGTGTTAGTGCAGGAGGCTAAGGGAGCTGGATTGGCACAGGAGCTGTAAGTTACAGTCTAGCAGTGGATTTTGAGGGTCCGTGAGCTGCACCACAGGTTTAAGATAATCAAGAAACAAAGCTGGCACCTACCAACACTTGTAGCGGGTGTCATGCACAATATTGAGCCTGCCCATCATGCATTGCAACAGGAAGGTGGATTTGGAAAGGGAAAAGAATTAAAACAACCCATCACACGTGTAATTAGGAAATTTCATTTGAACAAAGAAGAAAAATTGTTATTATGGGAACAGTGGCATGTAACTGTCAGCACAATCAAACCATACAATAGCACAGTGATCCATTAGAACTAGTCTCCAGCGAAGGGAAAAGCTGAGGGAACTGTGTGCTGGGATATTTTGTTTGTCTTTATTTCAGTCTAACACTATTAGATATTAGCATGACAGCTTGGTTTTATAAATTTTTGGTATCGGCTGTTTTGCCTTTGACACAAGCTTTGTAATGGTCTTTGACTCGGTTTCCTCATCCAAAAAGACACTTCAAAGTTGCAGCTGCCTCAGGTGAGAGTGGGCTACGCCTGACCCTATTCCGGCCGCGCGAGAGCCGCAGCGAGGGCTGCCCAGGCCTCCTCGCAGCGCCCGCTTGGGCAGCGTCACACACGGCCGCGGCAAGGGCCGCATTGCCGGGCCGGGCTCAGGTGGCCATTGCTCACGGCCGTGGCGAGGGCCGCACTGCCG